CTTACTTTTTTTAAGAGTAGTGAATAATATTCCCTGAAACAACAACTACTGAAGGAATTTAATATGACACTGTTTATCCTCTAAACTATTCTGGTACATTTCCAGAAGTTTGTCTACATAGTTCTGTGGACTGGCTTTCGTCCATAGGCAGGTGCCAGCAGGGAGTAGGGTCAGCGAGGGACATGGAAGCTGACTTCCTTATGGTTCTCCAGTGAAGAAACAGCTCTCCAGTTCACGTTCCTCAGGCTGCACACTGGACAGTTGCTTCCTCAGTAGAGAGGGTATACTGCACTTTCACATCGCACCCTTTGATATAACCTTTTGCAACCCTGAATAATTTTTACATAAAAAGGGGCTTAACTTTCATTTGCAAATTTTGTTGTTGTTAATTTAACATCATGTTTTGCTTTCAAAAGAATTAAGTTGAACAAATGAAGTCATTTTTTCATTCTTCCTCTAGAATCAGTTTGAAAATAATCTGCCTTTACACGTGTTTCCTGCATCTGTGTAAATGAAAAGTTACAATACTGGTCTATGGGCATTGTTTTGTTGTTGTTTCTCCTTTTTTTTTTTTTTTTGAGAGAGAGAGAGGGAGTGGAAGGGGCCGGAGAGGGGAAGAGTGACAATAATTGATGAGAGAGACACACATTGATTGATTGCCTCCTGCACGCATCCCAACTGGGACTGGGAATCGAACCTGCATCCCAGGTACATGCCCTTGACCAAGAATCAAACCTGTGCAGGCTGATGCTATAACCACTGAGCTATGCAAGCCAGGGCTGTTGGCTTGTATTCTTGATTGTTCCTGGAACCACAAGGCTCTTCAGTGGGTGACACTTAGAAAAAGGATGGTTTTTTCTTCTGCATATCACTGTTTAGCACCGGGGCCAACTACAGGGTTTGGACAAGAAGTGCTCTTAGTGCAGGTATTTGAGCATCAGAAACCTTTCTTCCCCCCAACCCCAGCCTGTGATTTGGAAGGCTGGGCAGGGCCTGTGCACCATGGTGCCAGTGGGAGACTTCATGGTGCAGAGGGCGCAGCTATGGTGGAAGGAGAGAATAGAGTATCGAGGACAGCCTGGTAGAAAACTGGTTCTCAGGGTGGGAGTAAGAGGTAAGATTTACTGTGAGTTTATGGAGACTTCAAATTGTCATCCCTTCTTGAGAGGAGGGCTGCCCTGCTGGCATTACACACACACACACACACACACACATACACACAGAGTCTCAGAGACAAGATGTTGACATATTTGGAAAACAACACTGAGCTCTCGTCCAGTGTTTACATTGCTTTAAATATGTTATGTAAACACCAGGAGCTTGCTAAGCAGAGTTCACTTCACTTGTTATTCCTGAGAAAGGCCATCAATCTGTGGGGGTAGTGTTAGTAGTTAGGCTGAGTTCCAGCTCACGTCTGCACTGGCTGTGTTCATGGCTGTCAGGGAGGCAGGGTGGCATCGCCCAGTACTTCTAGTGGTTCAGTATGCTGCTGCCCACCCTTTCTGTGGATTAACATGGGATTCTCCTGCTCAAATACTTAAACTTAAATATGTGCAGTATCACTAGATACCACTTTTGGTTTGACTGTATTCACAGTCACTTAGCATTGGTGCTTGAATGTGGGAAGGTTCACCCAACACAAGTTCTATCTTGAGATTTAATGCTCATGTGCATGGATCCTTCCTGGACTGCTACACCACCCAGAAGTGGCCACCTGTACCCTTTCTGTTGCCCCATCTTCCATTCATTCATTCTCAGCACAGATTGTGTCACTCCTTGTCCAGTCCTCTGTACTCACCTCTTTGCCCAGTTCTTCCTGCTCTGGCCATAATTGCTCCATTTTGTTCCCAGAGCCCATGGCCTTCCCAGCCCAGGCCAGTGTAAAATGCTCCTTCTTTTGGACCCTTTTCTCTGATTCTGCCCATGGCTGACTGCTTGCAGTCCTCTCCTTACCGAGGCTGGCTCTGGTCTGTCTAAGATGATGCTTCCTATCTTGCAGTTGCCACTTCTCTGTTTATTGTACCCACCCTCCTCTCCACTCATCGACTCAGTATGGGCAGCTCTACTGGCTGACTCAGGTGCCCATGAGATGTAGCCGAGAATTTCAGTGTGTTCACTTCCAGCTTGGCCCAGAGCAGTGACTACGCAATTCTAAACCAGATGTGGGGAAGTTGGCCCGTTGTCATTTTAGCTGGTGAGGCAGCCAGCCACCTAGAATATCTCAGGATTCCTTCATTCTAGCAACTTCCTCACTAACCAGAGCCTCCACTCTGCAAAGATGTCTGTCATGAGGCTAAATGTCCCTCTCAAGCTTGATTTGTTTGGAACTCAGCACGGTGTATTTTGGAAGGTTTGGCACAGGGGCAGAGTTTGTTTCTAGGAGCCTCCCAGGGAAGGCGTAGATGGCCTTCCAGCCCTCCAAGTCCTCCTGCTGCCCCTTAGGTGGCGTGTCTGGGACACACCCTTACATCCCGTCCTAGGGGCTCTGGCAAGAATATTCAGTCCCAGAGAGTGCATTAACTGTCTTTAATCATGTTTTGAACCAAAGTATAGTTTCCTGGTCCCAGAAGACTGTTTTGTTCCTGCTTCAGCACCTGCCCTTTCTTTTCCCTATAGCAGCCCTCTCCCTCCTCCTCTCCCTCCTGCATTTCCCACTCTTTTTCCTCATTCCCTTTGCCTTTTCTCTTTCCACTTCCCTCCCTCTGCTTTCTGCTCCCCCTCCCTCCCTCCCTCTGCTTTGCTTCATGGATTGACTGTTACTTATGAAGTGTGGTTCTTCCACTCTAGAGGTCCCATCTCATCCATACTTAGATCATGTGCACATTTGGTTTCTGTGTAAATGGCTAAATGTAATAGTAGCTGACTGACCGTAAGAAAAATGCATATATCTGAGCATATGGTCATGGTTCTGCATATCCACTCTTAAATCATCAACACTTCTGAGAAATGATACTACTTACTCTCAGTTCCAAAAATTAGATTTGTGATTTGTATTTTGGCCTTAGCCAAAGCCAGGAGCCTAGCTTCAACCGCCCTAAGCAGTCCTTCAACCTCTGGTCTGCCCTGTGGCGAAGGGTCATCTTGCCATAGTTACCACGCCTCTCCTGATGTTCCTGGAAATCTCATGGCTCAGGAGCACGGCTGGGAGAGGCTGCCTGTGAAGGAGGCAGTGTGATTGAGTCAGACAGTTAGCCACTCGGTTTTCTGCTCTGCCTCAGGCCTTTGGCAAAGCAAGACAGGTTGGATACCCTTTCTGAGGACGACTTCTGTGTCTGGAAACTAGAATGTAAATATCAAGATGCTTCAGAGTAAAGTTAATGAGACATTTTGAAGCAGTGGTGACTGTGGCTATGACATTACTTGTCAGCCCAGGCCTAGTGGACACTCAGCAGAAAGCTGAGGGCAAAACAAAGCAGAAAGGACACCCAGAGGGAGGCTCCAACTCTCCCTGTTGATGTCCTTCCCTCCCATAGTGGCATATTTGTGCAGTAACTATATCTTGTACCTTAATTTGTTGCCATGTTAAGGTCAGAAGAGATTGTTTGGAAAGCTGCTGAGTTTCTAGGCAGAATCGGTAGTTCTTTTGGGTTATGGTCTTAGTGAAATGCTTCTCCTTTTGGGTAGGAGAGCTGGCCCCTCACTGCCCTCCCTCATCCTTCTCCATGGCCTCACACCAACCTTCATTTTCACTGTGGCCTTGCTGAAGGTAGAGAAAACGGGGCCCTTCCAACACAGGAATGTCGAGTTCTGGGTGTTTGCATTTTAGATGACCCTTGAGAAAAACAAAGGGTGGGGCAAGGCTTGGTAGTCTTCATGTTACAATTAGTAACCTTAAAGCCACAAATGTGCATTCTACAGGATTAAGGGAAGAACGAGTGGCAGGAGAGGAAATTTCGTTGGTGAGGAGAGGAGCGGGATCATGGTGCTCTGAGCAGGAGGCTGGGAAGTGCTTCTGATCTGTATACTTCCAGGTTCACTTGTGGGAGGCTAAGGGAGGGGAGGATGTGACACACAGAAGGACAGTGGAAGGACTCAGAGTGAGGAAAGGAGTGTGGGAAGCTTAGCATCCCCTGAGACCTTTATTCATGCTGAGCTGGCTGCCACCCAATTCCTCAGCAGGTCAGAACAACAGCTTACATCATGCAAATAGTTTGTCTCACTTAGGATGTGCTCAGCTTCCAAGTGGCCTCTTCTTGGAACAGTTCCAAGTGGAGACTTGAGTCACAGAGTCCTCTAAACACAGGATTGCGCATTGATTCTCATCCCAGAGATGGAACACTGTGTGTGGCTGTCCTGCGCTAATATGGCCAGATTCACAGCCGTAACCCAAGCGAGTGTATTCTGTGAGCGGCCTCTCTCTTCCCTGATGCTGGAACTCTCAGGCCACTCTAATTTGCTGCCCTTCCCGATGCAGTGATGCTGAAAACAAACATTTAAGTATTAAAAAGCTCTTTGTCCTACTGTAGTTGTAAAGAGAATCCAGGGTTTAAGGCTAGAGCTTGTTCGATGCCACCTCTTCCAGACATACCGGCATGTGTGTGGGATCCTTGGCAGCATTGTCATCGGCGTTGTAGAGTCTCCACCATTACCTGTTATCAGACTTGTGAGAGCTCTGGGCAGGCCATCGGGCAGGTGGCAAGTGTGCCGACAACATACAGTGCTCTACTTTCTGTGAATTCTCAGGTGGGCTTAGCCCTGTGGAAGCCAATCTCCAAGGCAGAACATTTTTGTGTTACAACATATTACATTGATCTTCCTGAGATGATCAACAGAATCCCAGACCAACCCTTGGAGAATGATGTCCTTGTTTCTGTTGTTGATCAGGTGTAAGATCCCATACCACTCTTTTGTGACCACAGGAATTGCCTCAGTGTTCCTGGCCAACACTTGGAAAGTTGGGGAGCGATTTGCTGTCAGCCCCCATGGATCTTCCTTGTGTATATATCACTGGGCCCTTGGGAGTGTGTGAGTTTGTCTGAGACTACCCTTCTCTCTTTCAGAGGACTACCCCAATGGCACCTGGCTGGGGGACGAGAACAACCCCGAGATGCGGGTGCGCTGCGCCATCATCCCCTCCGACATGCTGCACATCAGCACCAACTGCCGCACGGCCGAGAAGATGGCGCTGACGCTGCTGGACTACCTCTTCCACCGGGAGGTGCAGGCCGTGTCCAACCTCTCAGGCCAGGGGAAGCATGGCAAGAAGCAGCTCGACCCCCTCACTATCTATGGGATCCGGTGTAAGTGTGCATTTCCTGTTCTCTCTCACCTCCTTAAAGGGGGGCCTGTCTGAAGGGTGGGACCTGTGAGGTAAGGCTTCTGGGACGAGTCAGGATCTACATTATTGGGTTGGTGAGGACGTCAGAACTAGTCACAGAGCAAGGAGAGGGATTTCTGGGTTGAGCATTTCCTTTAGTAAGTGTTGCCTGGTACCCAGCCCATGGGAAAGACGGGGAGTGGGCCTTTCAGACCCTGAGAATCATTTTGAGTAGCTTACTGAGAAACTGCATGTGAAATGAGCTGACATCACTCCCTCAGGTGGGAGTTAATTAATCAATTCTCAGATGAATAGTGTTGCAGGAGTCAGCAGACTTCTCCTAAGGACCATGCAGTTGATGTGTTAGGCTGTGGGCATAGGGTCTGTGTTGTGAACTATCCCACTCTGAAGCAGCTACAGACCAAATGTAAACAAATAGGTGTGGTTGTGTTCCATAAACTTGACTTTCAAAAGCAGACAGAAGTCTGCCGACCAACTGCCAACGCATGCTTTAGAACATGATGCCTAGTGCAGAGATCACCACTCAGATCTGTAGGCATTACACACATGTGTGTGTGGCCTTAGAACACGTGTGTTTGTATGGAGACAAGCCATATGATGGTATTTGGCAGTGTAGCCCACAATGCAAGGTGCTGTTAGGATGTAAAGATGAACAAGAAGTGGTTCCAACTGCACAGTATATAGTTAGATATATGTGAACAGCTGCAGCCCCAAGAGTCACAGGGCAGTTGTCCACACTTGCAGTGGTTGATGGTGAAGGTCCTGACGGAGAACGGTGCTTGTGTTGAGGCTCCAAGAGTGGCCGGGATTGGCCCAGCATTGTGCAGTGTGATGGCCTCTGGGTGGTGGATTACTGTTCCCATAGGGAGTCACAGGGCTACTAGGAAAGGGTACTGATGATTTGGAGGGGTGCCTTGGAACCTGTGTGCAGGCTGTGACACACAGGTTGTTAGGCGGAGTCTTAGAGAACATTCTAGAACAGTGGTGGGAAGGTGGTGGGCAGTGGGACTCAGAGCAGAAGCACATGGGGATGGGGGTAAGGGTGGGGATGAATGGACTTGCTGTGGAGTCACCAATGGGAGTCCGAGTGGCATGGGGGAGGCACTGCATCGTCAGAGCAAGCAAGTGCTATTTCCCTGTAGGTGTGGAAGCTGGCCACCTTCCGAGCGCTCCTTCATTTGGGAACCATTGCAAATCGCTGCCTTCTCAGTGTTAAAATTCGGTGGCATTTTGAAAGGTTAAAAGCATTTGTTGACCTTTTTTCCTTTTGGCTCAGTTTAATTTGTATTGCTGATTTTTACTAAAAAAAAACCTGAACAAATGAACAATACTGATTAAATGCTGAGCACTGAGCTTAAATAGTGGCCAGTGGGCATTGGCTACTTGATCACGCACCACCGATATTTTGTTTCTGCAGACTCTGGGTGACGTAGACACCTTCAGTAATTCTCAGACGGTTGTCTTTCCCTGTGTCTGTTTTCATACGGCTAACTTCTCCGTGTTTCCATTGTCACCCTGCGTCTTCTCCCTGTGACTCCATTATCACACAACCCTGTTGTCTTGTGCCTCTGTCATTATATGTTTCGTCTTCTCCCTTTGTTTCTTCTCCTTACAGGGATACCCGTCACATTGGATGTAGAGCCCACTGCTCTTCACTATGACCTCATCTTAATGTAATTAATCACATCTGCAAAAACTATTTCCAAGGGAGGTCACATTCTGAGCGTGGAGAGCCTGATAGCGGCATCAGGCTCTCCTGCAATAAACTGAGGAGTGGTGTCACTCATCGTGCTTATGTGGATCACCACTGCTTGGGGAGAAGAGGTGACCTGGCCTTGAGGCTAGGACACACTGGGTATGGGAGATGCATGTGTGTCAGCCAGGCGTGCTAAACCCATCCTCATGAGGGAGCATGCTGGCCAGTTTCCCCTCATCAGAGAGCTGAAGATTTCTGTTGTTTTTCTAGGCCATTCACTATGAAGTCAAGACTAATTTTAAGAAGTAAATTGCTGGCACTCAGTTTTCTGCTTATTTCCCCTCCTTGAACTTGAGATTACATTAACGATGATAGTGTTTTTTATTCCTTTGTGACTGATAAGCCCCTTGCCACCCACCAAGGATGGGAGATTGCGTCTCAGTTCATTTGATTTCCTCTGTTTCTCTTTCCCACAGTGTGACTCAGCCTCTCTGTGGGGCTCATTAATTGAGAGCTGGGAATCTGGTTTTGTGATTTGAACCACCATTGCCAACCATGGGCATTCTGGAAAGTGGGAAGGCAGTTAACAGTGACGGACTCTCATATCTTCAGGAGGTGGCCAGATAACTTGCCAGCAAAGCAGATGGGCCAGCTCGCAGGGGCTGTTCTGGGGGTGGCCTGGGAGCTTGCCTGCTGAGCAGCTCTCCCACAAAGATACTGAGAGAGCTATGTGGCTCACCCTCGGGTGAGATGGTTCTGTAGCTCCTTAGAGACCCTGTGCAAGGACCCTTGGGCAGCAGCCAGAAATGGCCTTAGAGTGAGCTGTGTCTCCTATATAGGGCAGCCAGAGTGATAGCCTTGTGGTAGAGAGTTATACGAGCAGTGGCTGTGGCATGAAATTGATGTCATCTTCTCCCTGGTTCCCTGAGTGTCCCTGAGGGGGTCTCCTAGGTGCAGAGTATAGCACTCCTGGAGTTCATGCTGTGACCACTTCTTCTCCACATGAGTGGGTGCTGGGAGGCCGAATTTTAAAGCCAGGTCTCACTCCTAACTGATAATTCAGCTTGTAACTCAAGTGAGGGTAATGGCATTCTCATTTTATGAGGTTTTCTTATGAGATAAAATGCTTTACAAGTGTGAAGTACCAGTTAAGTTCAAATGAAGTACGCTTTAGGAAAAGTCAGAATAGCAGCATCCAGCAGTACTTGCGGTCAGGGGGCTGTACCCTCTGCTATCAGGACTCCTTCCTGGAGTTGCCGCTGATGGCCAAGGGTTTCTGAGGGCAGAGCTGAGAGCACTGCCCCATTGGATCCATCCCCTGTCGCTCCCCCTAGGGCTCTCAGCAGGGGAACATTTGTGTTGCTGATTCATTAGTTAGTTTTTCTTGGCAGTCATCAGGGTGGCATTTGCCATGCATTTGAGTCTTGAGTTGCTTTTGGAAGGAATTATGTAATATGATGTCTTAGGAGAATTAAAAAATGGATAATATATAACTATGAATGTATATATTTTTTTGTCAAGGATGTATGCCAGGTTTTGACTGGCAAATTGGTTTTTACAAAGTTGAATTTACATGTTCACGCTTTTGCTCATTTCTTGTATTTATATATCATGTGTATCTTGTATATATTTTCTGTTCTTGACAAATTTTTAAAATTGTGTATAATTTCATTTATTCCTTGAGGCATTCAGTTGGTTTTCCTTGAATGTGAAGATGTGAGAACAGGAAGATGGTTTGTAGAATGTTTCTCTTTTTTAAAATATACTTTTATTGATTTCAGAAAGGAAGTGAGAGGGAGAGAGAAATAGAAATATCAATGATGAGAGAGAATCATTGATTGGCTGCGTCCTGCACACCCCCTACTGGGGATCGAGCCCACAACCCAAGCATGTGTCCTTGGTCGGAAATGAACCCAGGATCCTTTAGTCCGCAGGCCAATGGTCTATCTACTGAGCCAAACTGGCTAGGGCTAGACTGTTTCTCTTGAAGCATATGACTTAAATAGAGACCTGGTGCATTAAAATTGTCACGGAAGGAGTGGGGGAGGTGTCCCTCAGCCTGGCCTGTGCCCTCTCGCAATCCGGGAAACCTCAGGGGATGTCCTGCATTGAGCGTCTGCCCCCTCTAGTGGTCAGTGCGAACATGGCAACTGGTCGACTGGTTGTTCTGCTGTAATGGTTGCTTAGGCTTTTATATATATATAGATATAGATAATATATTTTATATTGTGTGTGATTGCTGTTTCTTTTCTTGTCTTGGAGACTATAGTTGTAGTTGGGCAACTATGCAACTATAGTTAGGAGTTGGGGTCTCCTGTAGCTACCTAACTATAGTTCTGATAGTTTCACTCCCCTCTAACTATAGTCAGGAGTTGGATTCTCTGGTGACTATACAACTACAGCTAATATTTGGTTCTTCTGCAATAATGGCAGTGGTTGGCTTTTGTTACCACTAATGTTGGTCACTAGCCTGGAACTTTGTGAGGCATCCCTGCACTTAAAGCCATACTTGGCATGTAGCAATCACTCAGTAGGTATTGATGAATGATTCGGTGATTATTTTAGAGATGACCTGAATATCAGAAAGCAAAAATTCATGCTGTTTCATTTACATATTTCCTTTTATGCATGAGGATTACAATGCTGCTAAAACTACTCAGGTTTTTGTTCTTTCAGATCCTATAAATCCTACCCCTCCTTACCTCAATTTCTTTTTAATCTAGATTACAGAAATTTGGGTTTTCATTACATTTAGTCGAAAATGTCTTAAGCATATGCTCATAGAAAAACTCCAAAATGTCTTTTCAAGATGAAAGAAACTTTTGATACTTAATATAGTACTTAAGAGAACAAACACTGCCTTTGTTTTATTTGTAGTATTTTGGTCTTGAGAGGGACACATTTTAGGAATTGTGCATCAAGTTAATTCTCAGTAGATAGAACTAACTTAATGCTCTTAGTAGTTGAAACAGGATGTTTTTTAGCTTAATCTTTTTATTATTCAATTTTTGAATTTCATCCATTTGTTTTCCCATTAATCAGTGAAGTTGAGCCAGCTAGAGAGGAGGTCACCCTGCTTAAGCATTCTTGTAGTTCCCACGTTCATGACCTTACTTTCTGTTGATTCAGCATAAAGAAGAGGTGGTGTGGTCTAGTGAGAGGTGAGCAGGGTTGGCAATGAAGGGTCTCCATCTGCCACCCACTCCTCAGTGGCCTCCCATGTCACTGGGTTCCTCTTTGTTGATAAGGGGTGGCACATACTGAGAGCTATCTGTGATTTAAGAGGTTAACAAATGTGGGTGCCAGTAATATGCTCTGTTAAGTGCAAGGCTACATGCACCCTCTGTGACTAGCAGTGCAGTTCTATCTGGGTGTGGGGGCTCTAGGGCAGAGGTCTCCAACTGATGGTCCATGAGGTCCGAAAGGTAGGCGACGGCTGCTCTAGGAAGTAAAAAATCATCTCTGCTCTTAAGGAGTTTTCATTCTGATGGGGAAGCAGATGGAGAGTTCCACACAGAACTGAAGTTACAATGGAGATGTTTTAAGAAGAGTTGTAGTCACTAATTAGTCATTGAGTTTTGAAGCATTTACTATGGGCCCAGATAGTCTTGTTTATTGGGTGCACAAAACAAAGATCCCTGTGTCTGTGAGAGAAACAGAGTAAGTACAATAAATATGTAAATTCTCTAAAATGTTAGAGACCCAGGACGGGAGTGGAGGTGGAAGGAACCTTAGAGTCAAAGGGGCTGGTTAAGAATAGGATAATTGAGGTTCTATTGGAGCCAAGACTTGAAAGAAGGGAGGAAGGCAGCCAGGAAGACATAAATGAACAGAGCTGGGGCCTGGAAAAACAGTTTTGATAAAATTGTTGGGATCTTTGATTTTATTTTTGACATTAAGGAAGTTAGAGGAGAGAGAAAAGTTTGTGGAGCATCTGGGAAGCTCCTGTGAGCCTCACCACCTAGCTTGTTACCTTATTTCCATCTGGTTTGGGTGGGTCCAGTCAGAGTTATTTAAAACTTAAATAAATGAAAATATTTTACAACACATAACCAGCATTCCTGTGGGGTGGAGGCAGGGGCTCTCAGCCCCAATCACATTTTTGTGTTCAAATTGCTCCCAAACAGCCAGGACCCAAAAGGAAGGCCTTCACCTCATGGTGCTTTTTATTTGGGACATCTTCTTCCAGGTCACCTCTTTTATAAATTTGGAATCACAGAATCTGACTGGTACCGAATCAAACAGAGCATCGACTCCAAATGCCGGACAGCCTGGCGGCGGAAACAGCGAGGCCAGAGCCTGGCCGTCAAGAGCTTCTCTCGGAGAACGCCATCCTCCTCCTCATACAGTGCATCCGGTACGCTTAGGGGAGCAGCCTGGAGCAGTTTGCATTGTAGGGCTTGGGGGTGGTCCTGAATGAGTCCCCTTACCCGCAGAATCTATAGCTGCCACTTAAGCACCAGCAATTCAAGCCTTAACTCTGTGCTCACATGTCAGCTTAAGTTCGAGAATGCTGTTCTGTGTCATTGGGAAGCCACAACCAGACAGACGGCTTGAAGCTTCCTCTTTGTGAGCACTGCAATCAAATTAATTTTGAGAGAAACACAGAACATATTCATTTTTAAAAATCCAACTTTAAGAAAAGCACCTTGCTTTTTAAGTTTGTGTTGATTTAATTGTTCTCTATTTTAATATCCTGCATACTTGGCTAAAACTAGGTAAAACAAAATAGGTGTTTAAAGGGACTTCTGGAATTTTTGTCATTGTTCTTTTTGCATACTCAGTATAACAAAGCAAATCTGATATGTAAGGCTATTCTGGTGACAGATATAATTCAGTAAAATGTAACTGAACCAGGATCTTGTTATTGGTAGTATTTCCAACTGGGGTGTCTTGCTTACTTTTTAATTATCAGCTGATATCAAAGGAACTTCCAAGTAAATGCTATAAGTAAAATTCTGAGCCAAGGTTAGTCCTGCCAGTTTGAACACAAACCATAAAGCCACCAGTTTCAAAGTGTTTTAAAAAAATCAGTTTATTAAAACATTTGAGTTGCTCTCTCTTATCTAGCAACACTGTATACATTTTTTATGTGCTTGATTTTAAGATGGCTACAAATTACTGTTTAAAATACAATTCAGCATTTCCCCCCACAGGTCTCATTGGTGAGATGAAGACCTTAGGTAGCATCTATTTAGTGCCCAATATTTTAGAGTTGCAGGGAACCAGCTCTTACAGCTGGTTTTCCACTGGACATAGAGAAGAGCCAGTCTAGGGAGGAGAGGAAGCCTATTGGGTGGCCTGTCCTTTCTGCTTCCGTCTCTTGCAGGGGGCACTATGCTCCAGAGCCGCACCAGCACTGTCCCTTGGCCTCTGGTCAATCCAACCATGCTTGTCTCCTGTCACTTGCTGTAGATCTTGGTCTATTCTTGATCACAAAGTCACCAATGCAAGTTTTTGTAGTAGACTTTGATATCTATATAAATTATAAAACATGAATTTATAATGGTCTTCATGTTGTATAATTATAGGGAGCTATTGATTAAATGGTAAGTTCAGTAATTTGAATTTTAAATTTGGGAACCATTATACACACAAATCCTATCATCTATGGTTTTTTAGAACCCTGGGGATGTCATTCCTTTTGGTTATATTTTTTAAAACCAGCAAAATTAGTTGATTTTTATTAACATTGGAGCAGAAATTATTTAGGAGCCTATTTAGTTATATAGTTATTATTAACTGGCAGAGTGGATTTTAAATGTTTTGGTCATTACCACCTTAAAGAAGTTTGGAAAAGTGTTCTTCTTTGCATATTTTTATGTTGACATTTTAAAATGTTGACACCTAAAATTTTTAATTCTACTTTGAAATAATTTAAAAGTATGTAATTTCAGGCATACTGCTATATTACTTATTTATTTACTTATTTATTTTTATTGATTTCAGCAAGGGAGAGAGAAATAGAAACATCAGTGATGAGAATCGTTGATCAGCTGCCTCCTGCACACCCATTACTGAGGATCGAGGCTCCAACCCTGGACATGTGTTGATCTCCTGGTTCATAGGTTGATGCTCAACCACTGGGCCACACTGGTTGGGCTGCTATATTACTTAAAATAACATACATGCAGGGACTCAATATACTATGTCAATTTGATGCCCATCATTAAATTATTTAAAAAATTTATAAAACGCTTTTCTTTAGTAAAAGTACTTAAGAAAATTTCTCTGATTGAGATTTTACAATTAAAATTAATACACATTACCAAACCAAACATATCATTTTGGATTAAACATAGAAAGTAAAATTTTATTAGAGGTGTATCTTTAAATAAGTGAGTGGAGCTTTTTTCTGTAGTTTAATTGTCCAAGGACAAATATTACTTAATGCTGATTTAAAATAGAGTTTAACATCAACTTTTTTTTGTATTTTTTATCTTGTCAATATATATCCTGAGGAATTTCATTTAAATAAGTAGATGTGAATGGTCTGTTGGTGAATAGTCAGTTCTTTAGATTCCTTCTTTCTACAGGTCAGAAATCTTAGTTATCTAATGCTAATTACTGATAAGTTCTACAAAATGCCATGCTCTCCCATTGGGACATGTTGATTTGGATTTCAGAATGAAGAATTTCCTTTCTTCTTCTGTGGGAGTTTAGGGCTTGGGGTTGGGGAAGAGAAGGCAGCCTAGATGTGTGCACCTACGCTTGTCTGCTGCGCTGATGCTGAGCCTTCTGTTTTCCCACAGAGAGCCTCATGAGCACGCCGCCACCCACCACTGAAATACCACAGCCCCAGCCGCAGGCCCTGCACTATGCCCTGGCCAACGCCCAGCAGGTCCAGATCCACCAGATTGGAGAGGATGGACAAGTCCAAGTAGTATGTACCTTTCTACTAGCCTGTCTCCATGAATGAACTGGAAGGGAGGGTGTGGTGGAGATTGGGAAAAGCAAGATCAGTTCTCCCTGGTTTTCTGGATCACGTGAATAGTTTGGGATGAGGGAGAAATGCATGTTAAAGTAGAAGTAATTAGGGTATGAACACTTACATTTCAAAAGGAAGGTCGTTGCTGGGTGACCCTGACATTGTCGAGGGCCCTGCCCTTCATGGCTGTGCTGCACCCAGTGGTCACTATCAGCTCTAAGGATCCATGCTGCATCCTGTCCTCCTGGGAGGTGTCATAGATGGTGTCATAGATATTTTCTCACTTTGGAAACACAAGTGCTGGGGGAAGAAAAAATAATTTCCTTCTGGGGTCAATGAAAAAGCTGGTAGCCTTAGTTATTGTTTAGCATTTCCTTTGGCTTGTGGGACATGCACTAAGCTTGTGTGGGCAGTTAGCTCAGTGATGAGTCCACTGAGCCTTGTTGTTCTGTCTGTGGTGGTGCCAGCCCAGGTGGAAATTTCTCCAGACCCCCTGTGGGTTCTGTGGCTGAGATGTGGGGGCAGGAACTTTGCTAGAGAACAGGATGTTTTCAGTGTGCCCCTGAGATTGTGTTGATGTTTGAGTCACACCCAGACTCTTTTTGTACACTGCATCACCAGGGCTTTCTCCTGGAACCCGAATCCCATCCAAGGGTGATCTCATTTTGATGTTACACTGCCTGGAAAGGGGTGGGCTTCCAGAAAGTATTGATGAGGACTATTAATGAAGTTTTTCTTCTTCCAGAGGAGATGAAGCAGTTAAAAGTAGTGAATTCATTGTTTAATTAACAGTCACAAAGGCAGTTAGTTACTCTTTAAGAAAGTTTTGTGAAAGAATTTCAGAATAACTTGGACACAGTTCACAGATAGACATAGTAAAATGAAATCAATAGAAATTTCTACAGTAGTTTATGTTAATATCCATTTTCATTAAAATAGAATTTTATTTTTAAAAAAGTATTTTTATTGATTTCAGAAAGGAAAGAAGAGGGAGAGAGAGATAGAAACATCAGCGCCCCATACTGGGGATTGAGCCCGTAACCTGGGCATGTGCCCTTGACCAGAATGGAACCTGGGACCTTTCTTTCCCCAGATTGACATTCTATCCACAGAACCAAACTGGCCAGGACAAGATAGAATTTTTAAATACAATCATGGGTATTCATATCACTGAGCAGTATCACTAGGCAAAGTTAAGGTTTATTGGAACTATTTATTTTCTGTTTCTACAAATATAAATGCATTGTATAGTTGGATGCTTTGATTTCTTTATTAGTGTTTATCCCAGCTATTTAAATAGTCATGTGTTTCTTTGACTTTAAAAATATTGTCTGCCCTGTTTTCGATGTAGATACACATGTACAAGTCTCCTCCCCACAATCCCACACTGCTGTGTAGCCATGCCGCACTCCCAGATCTCTGGGAGACCTTGCCTGGTAGTTCTATAAAGTTTCTTCTTCTTTTTATTTTAACATTTTTATTGATTTCAGAGAGGAAGGGAAAGGGAGAGAGAGATAGAAACATCAATGATGAGAGAGAATCACTGATTGGCTGCCTCCTGCATGTCCCCCCACTGGGGATTGAGCCCACAATCTGGGCATGTGCTCTTGGCTGGAATTCAATTTGGGACCCTTCAGTCCAGAAACCGATGCTCTATCCACTGAGCCAAACCAACTAGGGCACACAAAGTTTCTGATCACTCTGAGTTAATAGTATGATTTAAAAAAAAAAAGTTATTCTAATTTTCTGGAAATTTCTGTTTGCATTTTTTTCTATATGTTCTTGATATTCTGAAATTTGCTTGTTCAGTTTAAGCAAATTTAAAGACTTAACAGAATTTTCCTAAGACATAGTAAAATGAAATCAATAGAAATTTCTACAGTAGTTTACTTTATTATCTATTTTCATTAAGATAGAATTTTATTTTATTTTTTTAAAAAGTATTTTTATTGATTTCAGAAAGGAAAGAAGAGGGAGAATGAGAAACATCAGCGCTACATTGCTCCTTTAAGAATTATTGCAAAATGTTCTGTATGTGTTATATACTAACAAGTTTAATTTCAAGAGACTATTAAGTGGCTAATACTATGTACATATTATATTACACTATTCAGGATTTAGTTGATCTTTTTTTTGTATTGTGAGCATATAGTTAAGAACAAAAATTTCGGAAATAATTTTTTGTTTCCTCTGGTTTTGATTTTCTTCTGATGCTTCTTGTTATCTTCTCTCGCTGCGGATCCCACAGGGTCACCTCCACATCGCTCAGGTGCCTCAAGGAGAGCAGGTGCAGATCACGCAGGACAGTGAGGTGAGTCGTGGCCACCAGCACTGCCTGTGGGCTTTCTGCATTCTGATCTTCGTCAAAATGGGGCAGACAACTGGGAATCCCCAGACAACATGATGTCCAGCATTGACCACCTTACTCTCGTTTCCTTGGGCACAAACTGACCATGTCTGTCCTCCTGCCTTTGCTGCACTGCGGGTTTATATGGGCAGTCTAGTTTTCTTTGTCAACACTTGCTATATCCAGTTTTTGCTTCTGGCTGGTGCTGACCTCTGAATACCCCTTTTCTCCCTGCCCACCCTGCTTTCCTGTCTTCCCATCTGAGATGAAGATCTAGTTCCCAGCATGGCTCCGGCCTTGCTCTCCTGCCCCGGGGAGTTCCCCAGCATGGGGAGTGGGAAGAGCAGGAGGTGGAGCTCTGCTCCTGCAACATGACCTCGTAGGTTCTCCTTGCCTTTGTGAGCCTGTGCTCTGTCTGGAAAACCAGTGCCCACAATATGGGTTGATTTGGAACTGGTGAGTCTGCACATGTACATCCTATGAGCTTTCAGTATATCTTTTCATGGCTCTCCTCATTCCTGCCACTCGTAGGATTGCCTCAGCTGCCTTAAGTTCATGAGATCCAGGCTTCTTTTCACAGGTGGTCTACTTTCCATTAATTCTAATCCATGATAAAGACAGAATGCAGGAAGTCCGTCCCAGCTGCACAAGTGCTGTTCCATATGTGCATCAGCTGCTATAGGGGGTCAGTGTGTGAAGGTCAGGTAGAACATCTATCTGGGTTGTTGGAAGGTGAGGCCAGCTGGTCATGGCGCTGATATCCTCTGAGCCCCTCAGGGGTGACCTTGCCTTTCTAGCTTTCTTGTACAGGGCATGGGTGGTGGTTGGCTGCCTCTGTGGTTGACAGTACAGAATAGCATCAGTAGACTCGGTGTACTTGTCTTCCTCTGACTTTGTCCCATGGCTGCCAAACAGTGCACACTTGCTCTGCTGGCCAAGTAAGGTGTGGAATTGCTTGCCCCTGGCAGCATGGGCTGGGAGCTAAAAAACATACTTATTTTTAGGCTGGAAAGATAGTACCAGCTTTGTGCAGACCCGCACTGTGGTGTGTTGTTACATGGTGTCGGGTTGCCTCACCAATGGCAAAAGCAGGTACAGACGCAGCAGCGACTGTGCAAGTCTTGACTTGCCAAAGAACCTTTCAGGAGAACCTCTGGAGGGAGGCATCTGATTAGTTCAGTGATGCCAAATGGCTTTTCAGAGCTGCTTTGTGGACACTTCTGCTTACATTCTAGTGGCATGCTAGATTGCTTTCCTTAAGTAGATAAGGCATTAGTCCCCCTTTGACTTTTCAGTTCCAGAACCCAGAGTGCTGAGGTGGAGGTAGTGGTAATTTGCTTACTGACTCATGTGTAAGGCATTTGCTGAGCTCCCGGTCAGTGCAGGTTGCTGTGCAGGCTATTGCTGCTGTGTGAAAATGTGAGGTAGAGGCTCCCCACAGTGCACTGAGATGAGTGTGCTAGGGGGGCCAGAAGTGACGAGCATTCTCTGGTGCAGAAAACAGAGGGGGGCTCTGGGATGCTTTCTAAGGGAAATTCTTTCATTCTGACCCCGGCCAGAGATTTGTCCGTGGGCCCAGCCTGTGAAGGGAAGAGATAAGCAAAGGTTCTGAGGGAAGACCGGGAATACGTGACTGAAGGAATTCCTATGAATTCCTGGTCAGAGGAGGGGATTGATTTATTCATAGGAGTAATTAGTTCAGTAATGGTCATGTGTCTAAACAAGGGAGTGGGAAAAAGCACATTGGTGTGGCTGAAGCTCCGGGCAGGGGAAGGAGAGCAGCAGGCAGTGAACTTGGAGATGGCCCTGAAAGGTATAACTGTCAGAGTTACGGAGCTGGATGGTGAGTGGAGAGTCTTCTGGCTCACTGTAATGTGGGTTCCACAGGAATGCACAGAGTGGTGCAGGACACCTGCAGACTAAGTGGGGTGTCCTGTTAAAGGGCAGTGAGGCTTAACTTTTAAAAGACACAGACAAGGGGAAGCCAAACAATTAAGAAGTGTCAGTCTACAAGGTGTGTATGCTTAGAATGTATAATTTGCCGGTAGACATTTGAAAAGAATGAAAATTGATATAATAATAAAAGGAAATAATAAACATACACTTTTAATATTATTTTTGCTAAAAGAATCATACTACTTTAAAAAATATATTTTTATTGATTTCAGAGAGGAAGGAAGAGGGAGAGATAGAAACATCATTGTTGAGAGGAAATCATGGATTGGCTGCCTCCTGTACACACCACACTGGGAATTGAGTCCGCAACCTGGGCATATGCCCTGATCAGGAATCAATAACTCCTGGTTCATAGGTCCACGCTCAACCACTGAGCCACCAAGGCTGGACATAAGAATAATTATTGAATTTAAACTTTTGAAACTGATTTTGTCCCTTTTTTCAGTTTTCATATCTGAAACCCAGTATTTTGTTTGTTTCCATTAGGAATTGAATGCAATGAATTAGAAGACATTGTTTATAATATTAATAATTACTTTATAATAAGTTATAATATACAGTTGTCTTCTTATCAGAATGAAATTTTACCTTGTTCATTTAAAAATTAAGTAATTATTTTTTCAAAATGAGGATGTCTGCAAAGAGACATTTAGCAGAACCTTTCAAACTTAGATCGTTTGTTATTTTTTTTAAACAAGTGAAAATGAATTTCCAACTGGTGAGATCCCAGTAGGCCTGTGGTCTGGTTAATTGTATTGTGTCTTGCCAATTTTGTGCTTGTGATAATGCATTATCCTTATGTAAGGTGTCTCCATGGGGAAGCTGGGTTATGGGTACAGGAAATTCTTGCTGTATGATTTTTGATTCTTTTTGTGAATCTGAACTTGTCTCAAATGTTAAAAAAAAATTACATTTGCATTTGTGGTTGGGGTGGAGAGTGAAAATGTCTTGTTTTTATTTTGTTAGTTTTTATAAGAAAAAATAGTAACCTGTAAACTCAGCTTAAATATTTTGAGTTTTTATTTCTACATGGGTTGAGTTTTTGTAGAATTGATATTTGTGGTTTTGCTGGTTATTTACCAATGGCATGGGGAAGTTCTTGCTACTGTGTCTTGAAGTCATTTTTATTCTTGATCTCTCTTTTTTTCATCCATTTTGCAGGGCAATTTACAGATACACCACGTGGGACAGGATGGGCAGGTAAGTAATCACCTGCCTTCACTCCATGCTGCTTGCTGTAGTAGATCCCCAGACACTGCACTGCCACAGGGAGCGTGCGAGGAGTGAGGAGCCAGAGGGTGGAGCTGCATTTGCTCCAGGGAAATATTGGCTTTACTTGGTGGCTAAGGACATCTGATGGGGACACATTGACTGTGGTTCTCTGGGATGCATCTGCCTCTTCATGGAGTTTCAGGTAGCTCTTTGTCTTATGGATGAAACTCCACATCTGTTTATTACGTGTTTTCTGTAAATTGACATGATTATTGTTGATCACTGTGTTTGTACAATAGCTATAGATTAAAACAAGTAGGTTTTGTTCATGGATATTGCTGTCAAACTCCAGCTCCTGCCTTTTCTTTAATCTTGGACAAAAAGCAACAGAGGCTATCATTGAATACATTTGATATGAATTGTTTTCACAAAGAGAAGTGTGCCTACTGTGAGGGTATCTAGGGAATGATTTGCTTTCTAAGATCTAGCAAAATTGCTGGTGAATTCAAGGGATTAAAATTTTCATGTCCTTGCCCAGCTGGCATGGCTTAGTGGTTGAGTGTTGACCTATGAACCAGGAAGTCATGGTTCTTTCGGTCAGGGCACATTGCTTAGGTTGCAGGCTCCATCCCCAGTAGGGGGCATACAGGAAATGGCCAATCAATGATTCTCTCTCATCATTGATATTTCTGTCTCTCTCTCTCCCTCTTCCTTCCTTGCTGAAATCAATAATCTATACTAATAAAGGGGTAATATGACATTCCAGACATTCTTCTGGACAAAGTCTTGGTGGCGGGGCCAAGATAGAGGTGGTTACAGGACGAGGGGAGGGAAGTTGTGGGTGATCAGGCCAGTAGGTAGATGGGAGTGAGCAGGCCGGCAGAGGTGAAGTTGGGAGCGAGCAGGCCAGCAGGCGGAGTGGTTAGGAGCAGTCAGACAGGCAGGTGAGCGGTTAGGAGCCAGTCGTCCCAGTTTGCGAGAGTGATCCCAGATTGGAAAGAGTGCAAGCCAGGCTGAGGGACACCCCCCACCCTCCTGCACCAGGCCACTCGTGTGTGTGTGCATATATATATATATATATATATATATATATATATGCACAAAAAGGACATGGAAATCATATCTATCTATCTATATATCTATATATCTATAGATAGATGGATATATATGATTTCCATGTCCTTTTTGAAGAGTTTTTATGAAGGAGATCCAAGATGGCTGCACCCAGGTAAACACCTAGCTGCAGCCGCACACAATAATTTCAATAAAATTCAACTAAAATATAAAATGGACATTACCCAGAACTACAGGAAAGTCGACTGACTGGAAATTCTACAACGAGAAGCAAGGAGAAAACCAGAAGGAAGCACGGAGGAGCTGGAAAAGCCCAAGGTTCGGAGACACGCGGCACGCGGAGAGGACGGAGCCGGAGAGGAGGGAGGCCAAGTGCCTGGCTGGCGTTCCCAAGCGGGAAGGAGATAAAACTCCGACTATGTTGGACCCCAGTTCTGACTGCTCTGAACCCCAGTCCTAGGCCAGACTCTGGGGACCCAGGCTCATCCAGAGGGAGCTGGGCTGTAAGGCGGAACCCGGGGGAGCAGCGAAAGGAGGTCCCCGCGGCGCGCACATTGCGCGCAGAGAAGGGACGGTTGGCTGTGCCGCGGGATTGCCCTGGCCAGAAGGAGACAGGGGCGCCAGTCTGCTCTGAACGCCACCTCCAACTCCACTTCCAACTGAACTGAACCCCAATACCGGGCTCATTGGGGGAGAGCATAGACTGTTGGGGCAGCAGGCAAAAATCGAGGGTACCTTTCTCTCAGAGGTGCTTTGCCAGGAGTACTGAAGGACCCACATAGGGCGGGGCTGATGGAAGCCAAGGCTGTAGGCTCCACCCTGAAATCCCGTCCCATCTGTAACTGCAAAATGCGACAACGAAATAGATCACAAACGAAAGTAATGGAGGACAAAAAGCGGCTGGATATAGAGTTCAAATCTACGCTTATAAGGTTTTTCAAGAATTTCCTAGAAAAGATGGATAAGACCTATGAGGATATGAAAAGAGATCAACTAGAATTAATAAGGAGTCAACAAGAAATGATAAGGGATCAACAAGAAATGATAAGGGATCAACAAGAAATGATAAGGGATCAACAAGAAATAAAGAATACATTGTCTGAAATAAAAAATATTATAGAGTCCTAAAAACAGAATGGAAGATCGCAAGAATCAAGTCAAAAATTTGGAACATAAAGAGCCAGAAGACACTCCTCCACAGAAGCTAGAAGGCAAGAGAATCCAGAAAATTGAAGATAATGTAAGAAACCTCTGGGACAACTTCAAGCAAACCAACATCAGAATTATGGGGGTCCCAGAAGATGAGAGAGAGCAAGATATCGAAAACATACTGAAAGAAATAGTGACAGAAAACTTCCCCCACCTGGTGAAAGCATTAGACTTACAAGTCTAGGAAGTGCACAGAACTCCAAACAAAAGGAATCCAAAGAGGACCACACCAAGACACATCATAATTAAAATTCCAAGAGCAAAAGACAAAGAGAGAATATTAAAAGCAGCAAGAGCAAAGAAGGAAGTTACCTATAAAGGAGCACCTATACGATTGTCAGGTGACTTCTCAACAGAAACCATGCAGGCCAGATGGGAATGGCAAGAAATATTCAAGGTGATGAATAGTAAGAACCTACAGCCAAAGATAATCTATCCAGCAAAGCTATCACTCAGAATTGAAGGCCAGATAAAGAGCTTCACTAATAAAAAAAAGCTAAAGGAGTTCATCAACACCAAACCAGAATTATATGAATTGCTGAAGGGGGTTCTTTCAGAAGAGAAAGTAAACAAAGATAAAAATTATGAACAACAAATACGTAACTATCAACAAGTGAATCTAAAAACCAAGGAAATTAAAAAAAAAATCTGATGAACAATATTAACTGTTGAATATAATAGAATCAGAGGTATGGAAGGGGAGTGAACTGACGATTCTTGGGGAAAAGGAGAGGGGGATGTGGGAAGAGACTGAACATAAACTGTGCACCTATGGATGAGGACAATAGGGAGTGGGGAAAGGGCAAAGGGTGGGGGTGAGAACCTGGTGGAGGAGAGCAATGGTGGTGGGGGGGAAGGAACATTTGTAATAATATGAACAATACTTATTTTAAAAAAAGTTTTTATGAAGGTGATATTTGCAATTTTTGAATAATTATGACAGATTCTGGATGATCTTCCTTTTTTTTTTTTTTTTTTTTTTTTTTTTTTTTTTTAAATAAAACATGAACCATAAGCATGAGCATAGAACTCATTTACTTCAAGGTAATAATACTTGTTATTCTCAAAACCAAGTGCATGCTCCCCTTTGAAACACCTGTTTTCCTATTATTACCATGAGTGGTTGATGCCTGCCATGAACCAGTTGTGGAGAGCATGTATTGCTGGACTAGGAAGTGAAAGGATAGTTATAGCCCTTGGATTTTCTCTTGAACCCTCAGAGCGCATTTACTAATTGCACTTACTAATATTTAAATTAGAGTTTCTTGGCTTGAAAATTTCTCCTTGAACATACACATGAGGTTTTGATCACTGTCCTGAAGCAGTATTAATATATAAATATAACATAGCTTCCATGGAAAAGAGCCAAAAAGCCTAAGAAATGCAAAATTAAAATCCACAGTTTCTCTGAGCTGCCTTGGTGATGAAGTTGTGGGCAGGCGCAATAGAATCGGTTCTCAGCAGCTTCAATGTGATGTTTCTCTTGGTTGGGCCGGAGATGTCGGGCTGGGCAGGAAAGGACAGGTCACTATCAGTAGTTTTTCATTGTTTTTGACAATATAATGGTTTATATTCAGACAGGGAGGACAATTTGATTAAGATGTGGCTGAACTTTAATTGATGAGAAAAGTTAAGTCTGTTTATCTTGATTTCCCTGTTGTTTTTGTCTCTATTCCTGAGCAAAATTCCACCAGGGATTTTGAAATATAATCAGGTTTTTTATTATGTTACTATCCTTTCGCTGTGCCTAATCAGGCAACAACATTCCAAGATTGAAGGCAGAGAACCAGCTTTTGTGGATAGTTATAACAGGTACGTCAGCTCTGTCCACAATTGTCAGCTCAGGAAGGACTCCTAGAATTCACATCTGAAGAGCCACCTTCTGAAACTTCCCCAAACAAGAGTGTTTTTTGCGCTCTCCCATTCTGCACAGTCACCAAGTGCTGCTGCCTTGCCTTAGTTCCTGTCCATGCCTCATTGGCCTGTTCACACGGGATTTACTGTGGATTTATGTCTGTTCCAGCCTGTCTGCCACTTAGTTCCCACTGACTTTCTCTTAGCAACCTCACTACATGATAAGTAGAACTACTGCACTGATCACTTTCTGTGTCACATAAATAATAATTTAGTCATCTGCATTTTTTGCCTAGAAAATTACCATGCTGATTGTTGGTCACTTTGGTGGGACCTCCAGTTAAAGACAGAACTTAAGTAAAGGCAGGACTGATGCTGATGGTAACAAAAGGGAAGTTTTGGGACCTGGCACCTTTTTCTTTTCTAAAGGAAACTCTGGTTCCTGATTTAAAGAAATAGTTTGTGTTCATAAGAAGCTGCCTATTTCTGTTAAACATCTGTTTAGCTAATCCTTTCTTTTTTTTCCATTGTGGAAATGGTTTTTTGTTATTTTATCATCTATCTACTTCTTATTCCTGTTAAGTTATCCTGCTCATAACAACTTTGTTTTCTAAATTGACCGAATACTTGTGAAATAGAATGATGTTTCACAAGACACGGAACACCGCGCTCAACTTGATGCCACTGATAAGGCTGACACACATCAGTGCAGAAGGCAGGAGACCCTGTCGTCCCATCTCCCACCTTCTCCCTCCACCACCACAGTCTCTGACTGCCTCTCCACTTTTCCTTGCCATCTCCCAGTCTCTCATGCCCACAGGAGGATAGGCCCTGAGCCTCTAGGGCTCTTT